ATTGCCCAACCTTCCTTCCAAGGAGTGGCTGGTGGGTTTGAACCTCCAGCCTTCTGGTCAGCAGTCAAATGCCTTAGGCACCACCCCACCAGAGCTCCTAGTCATTTACCAGGAGTTACAAAAACTATGGCTAGAAGAGTCATATTAAGTAATTCAGTGACCTGCAGTCCCCAGAAAAGAAATGTGGAAATCCTACCCAGGAACCTGTAAATATGACCCTGTTTGGAAATCAGGGTTTTCTTTTGTTATGTTAATGAGGCCAGGCTAGTACTGGGTGGGTCCTAAACCTATAGTGTCTTATAAAAAGATCAGCACCGACACACCCAGGGTGAAAACAGACCCTATGAGAGGACCCATCTACAAACAAAGGAATGCTGTGGACTGTCAGCAGCCACCAGAAACTCGGGCAGAGGTCCACAGGAGGAAATGAGACAGCCCACGTCCTGATTTGGGCTTTTAGCCTCCAGAGCTGTGAGAAAACACACTTCTGTTCCTTCAATCTGCCCACCTGAGGTCTTTTTTTACTGTGGCAGCACTGGATTACTGAGGCACTGTCTATCAGGAATCTGCCAGTCTGCAGGAAGAAGATTGTAGTGGAATTATCTTTTGATTTTTTGATCCATCCCTATTCTAGATCTGCTTTCTCCAGAGGAGCTGGGAGGTAGAGAGTCAAAGGCATTTAGTTACTAAGTCTGTATTAGTTTCCTAGTGCTGCTGTAACAAGTTACCATAAACCTGATGGCTTGAAACAAAGGAACTGTATTCTCTCACAGCTCTGAGAATGAAATCAAGGTGTCATGTTGCGGTACAGTGAATTACTTAACATGGTTCTTCTAGCCATATCTTTGTGACTCTCACCACATGACTGGGACTACATAAATGTGACATGCTTGTGGCCCACCATAGGGATTGGATAGCTTGTTAATAATGTAAATAAGGTACATGACACCCTTGGGGGTGAGACCATGGAAATAAGGTGAATGGAACCCTAACATGAAGATGGGTCACTTTTGCTATCTCATTAGGCTTAAAATGAGCCAGAGGTGGAAAATGGGGGTCTCACTACCGTCAAGAGAGAGCAGCCAGGAGTAGAGTGTGTTCCTTGGACCCACAATCCCTGTGCTGGACACCTAGGCAGAGAGAGGTGGCATCAAAGGCAGCAGAACGAAGAGATCGACATGAGAGAGAGTGGCAGGCTTGCCAGCCCAGAGAGCAAGAAAGCTGAGTGCCTTCAGGCAGGAGGCTTGCAGTGGACTCAGGTGCACCTATCAGCAGAGCTAAAAGAGCTTCGTAACAGTTGCCTAAGGGAGCTGAAGCTGGGCCAAGAGACCAACGGCCAGCGGCATGCCTGTGGCATGGCTGAGAAGAAGCTGTCCTGATTGAAGAACTATATCCTGAGTTGTTTCAGATCATGCATTACAACCTGTTACTTCCCTAATAAACCCCATAATTGTGAATACTGTACGTGAATTCTGTGTGGCCATTGCAACAAATGATCAAACCCAGCAGAGAAGTAGAGAGTGCCGTGGGAGGGACAGCTGGTGTCAGAATTGGTAAGAAAGTTGGAGGGTGACAGCATGTCTGACCGCTGCCTCAAAGGAATCAGCCTTGGGCTGTTGAAGTGAATCCTGATCCTTCTTCCCCCTCATGAAATTAGAGGAGGTCAGAGGAAGCCACCCACAAGCCCTTTTGGCACATGTTCCCTCTGGAGGTTCTAAGGCAGGATCCTTCCTTGCCTTTGCTAGCTTGTGGCGGTTGTCAGCAATTGTTGGCACTCCTTGGCTTGTACGTACATCAGTCCAATCTCTGCCTGTCTTCATATGGCCTTCTCTCCCCTGGGTGTCTGTCACTGTGTCCAAATTTCCCTCTTCTTATGAGGACACCAGCCGTATTAGATCTAGGGCCCATCCACCCCAATCTAGTGAGGACCCTGGATGGTGGCACAGTTTGGCTGGTGGTTCCACCCCACCCAGCAGTATTGTGGAAGAAAGGCCTGGTGGTCTGCTTCTGTAAATATTACACCCAGGACAACCCTATGGAGCAGTTCTACTCTGTAACACGTGGGTCACCATGAGTCAGAATTAACTCAACAGCAATGGGCTTGGGTTTGTTTTTCTTTTTGGTTTTTGTTTTGTCTGATTTCGTATTATCTCATTTGAACTTTATTACATCTGCAAAGGCTCTATTTTTCAAATAAGGCCACATTTATACATTCTGGGTGGGCATGAATTTTGGGGGGGTACACCATTCAACTCAGGACAAAGGAAATAAAGTGTTTTAAGAAACTAAAGTCACAAGACAGAATGAGAGCACACAGAATCACCACAAGTTGGCAATGTTGAGTGAAGACACGGTGTAGTCAGCTCTAACTGATAGAAGGTCCAAGGAGATTTTCATTTCTCATTTGTACTTTTCTGTTTTTATCATTCCTGTTCACAAGAATAATGCATGTTTTTTACAGAACATTCAAAAGTAAAGACAGATATAAAAACAATAAAAAAATCCCTCAGCATCCGACCACCCCAGAGACATCTGTCATCAACATTTTGGCGAACATGTGTCCAGACCTCATTCTGTTTATGTAAACCTGTGTGTGTATGTGTCCGACTTTACAGAAGTGGGATTATACAACATTGGTGTTATGCAAATTGCTTGATTACCCAACAATATGTCAAGGAGCTCTTCCTGGCCAATACATACAGCTTTGCATCATTAATTTCAGGAGCTGTAGCAGGCTTCAGGGAGCTCTGGTAGCATAGTGGCTAAGACATTTGCCTGCTAACCAGATGGCTGGCGGTTCAAACCCACCAGCCACTCCTTGGAAGGAAGGTTGGGCAATCCTACTTCCGTAGTGATACTGCCTCGGAAACCGAAGGAGGGGTCGCTATGTGTCGGGTTTGACTCGACGGCACATAACAACAACAACAACAACAGCAGGCTTCAGGGAGCTTCTAGACTAAGACAGACAGAGTGGGAACAAAGGCCTGGAGGTGAATTTCTAAAAACCAGGCAACGGATCACGGCAGTCCAGTCCACAACCAATCACACGTGTGGTGCAGGACCAAGAAGTGTTTCGTTCCATCATGCAGGGGATTGCCATCATTTGGGGGTCAACCCGCTGGCTGCTAACAACACAACAGAATGCTCTGGATGGATTTGAACTTGAGGCACAAAGGAACAGGGTCCCAGAGCAGGAAGTGGAGCACTTCCATCTACATCATCTTCTGTGAACCCTGGGGCAGAATAAGGTCAGGCGGTGCATGACCTGCAGACTTTCAGGGAAAGAGAAACCTGTGTCTTCTTCCTTCAGCCTCTGCCTTCCAGCTATTTCTACCGCTGAAAAGAGAGATGACAAGACAGAGAGGACGTGGAGAAGTAAGGCAGGTATAGTTACAAGGGAAAAGGGAAGTGCTTGTGCTGACAGGAATCCAGACGGTACCTGATAACAGAATGGAGAATGTTATCCACTTTCTGAGAAATCCAGCCACATGAAGGGAGTCACGGTTACTCCCTCAGCCTCTTCTTGGGGCATTAGAGCCCACAGTGGCCCCTTCCTGTTAGTGAACACCTTCTCCCACAATCACAAATGCCCAGGGAACAAAGTATTTGCTACCAGCTCTCATGAAGTGTAGGAGTTCATCACCCAGCTCCTTCCTCTATGCCCTTCTACCAACACATGGACCTTGTCTCCAAGGACCGCCAGGGTTAGCTGGGGAGCTAGATGTGAGGTTGATGAACACACTTATTTTTTAGACTTATGAGACCAACAATTAGGGCATAGAGAGAAAAGTGAGAGGAGAATGATATTGGAAAGGTAGGTTGGGAGCCACCTATGAGGGACCCGAGTATACCCATGCAAGGGATATAACCTTTCACCATCCAAGGGAGTGACACACTCAAAAACCCACAGAGACCAGACATGTAAATGAGTGAAGCAGATCAGGTGTAAGGTATTAGGGAGTGGTGGGGACTGTGGCAAACTGCACAGTGGCACCTCCTCTCTGCTCAGGCTGATTGTTGCCATGTGAAAATGCTGGCCCAATGTGACCAGATCTCCCAGTTTTCTGAGAGATGCCAAACTTCCAAGTTTTCAGAAAACAGTTTTAGGTTTTTTAAACACAGCACAGGACAAATCAAACTTGTTTTCAAATCTGAGATGGCTCATAGGCCCTCAGTCTGCCACCTTGGAAAAGTTTTTCAAGTGAAAGAGGGATGTGATCATATCTGGGCTTCAGAAAAACTACAGTGCCATATGGGACCTGAATGACAGGGAACAGACGGGAGGAAGAGAAAGCAGTTAGGAAACTTTCGGCAATCCAGGTGGGAGGTGATGGCGGCTGAGCCAGGGCTCAGGCTCTGGGGAATGTTATTGGATTAGTCTGGAGCCCAGCATTCAGTGGGAAGGCAAACGTTTCCAGTTCTGGAAAAGGGTCCAAGCTTTGGACTTTATCTTTAATCAGCTGCTGGGCTGGCATGTGCCTTCATTCAAAGCACTCCTGGCCCCTTTCCTAAAGTGGGAACTGAGAGACACAGGGCGGTCCCTATGTCTAGATCCTAAAAGCCAGAGGGCAGGACATTTCATTAGAGTCCAGCCAATTTGTTGTTGTCGAGTGTCACTGAGTCAATTCCAACTCATAGTGGCCCCGCGGGACAGAGTGGAGCTGCCCCAGAGGGTTTCCTAGGCTGTCATCTTTATGGAAGCGGGTCTCCCGATCATTCCTCTCATGGAGCCACTGGTGGGTCTCTGAACCTTTGACTTTTTGGTTCACAGCCGAGCACTTAACCGTTGCACCACCAAGGGTCCTGGACCTAATGTTGTTCCTGATCACTTCAGCGACAGACTCCCGGACTAAGTCCCCGGATTCTCATCCCCCGCCCCCCGGAACCCACACACAAACAGGCTCAGCACAGAATTAAAAATGTGGAGTCGGTACCATGGTGGCAGGCTCTTTGAAGAAGCCAGTGGGGATTCAGAGCCAAGGCTAGCTCTGCAAGACTACCGGGTTCTGCCTCGTAGCAGAGGGAAGATCTGCCTTCCACCCGTGGACACAGCCCCAGGAGCTGCAGGCTCAGAGCCATTTCGTGGTCTCGGGGGTTGTGTAACGGTCCACTGGGCTCCATGCGAAGAGGGCATGGATCGGAGTGGAGGGCCTCGTTCTAGCCCTTCTCTAACCCAGCAAGGGCTCGTTTCAGGACATTCTTGCTGCACGGGTGCCTTCCGAGTTCTTCTCCGTGCCTTTGTGCAGCTTCATTTTTAGGTGTGGTGGGCTCAGGAAACGGCTTGTGGTGCAAAGCCTCCTTCTTCGACACTGCCTGGGAGCGCCCCTTGGGGCTGAGGAAGACCGCGCAGTCAGGCAAAGGTTAGGGGGAGGGACAGGGAAGGCAGGGGCCCAGAAGGACTCCAGGAAATGTTTGTATTTCTCCACCAGGAGGGATGACAAACAAGCTTTTCTCGTGCCCTGGGCAGCTTTGCAAAACTCTGCAGCCCAGAGCCTGGGGAGAAAGCTTGAAGCTGGAAAGAAAATTAACCTGTGGTTGGACCCAACACTCCTGCAGCACGAAATTCACCGGGCTGCCCCCTGCTTCCTAGAACCTCCTGGGAAAAACTGCACGCATTTTGGTTCCTGGCCACGCTATAAGCTTTGCCTCTTGGCCGGTCAGCTGGTGACCCAGGTTGCAGAGAAAGGAGTTCGCTGGCTCTCTCGTTTCCTGGCTGAAGTTTCTGCTCTCCGTGCAGCAGCAGGCCTCCCCCAAGAATGGTTCCTGCATCCTGGAGCGATGGAGTTGGCAACACAGTGGTTGGGTGAGTGGTAGCGTTCAGAGAAGCCTCTGGGGTCTGGGGGGGGGCTGCCCTGGACGCGGTGCACTGGCTCTCACTCCACCATGGACAACGGGTCATGCTGTCTCATCGAGAGGGACCCCATCTCCCAGGTGATGCCCCCACTGCTCATCCTGGTCTTTGTGCTGGGCGCCCTGGGTAATGGCATCGCCCTGTGTGGCTTCTGCTTTCACATGAAGACCTGGCGACCCAGCACCATCTACCTGTTCAACTTGGCTGTGGCTGACTTCCTCCTCATCATCTGCCTGCCCTTGCGGACAGACTACTACCGCCGACACAGGCACTGGGCGTTTGAGGACATCCCTTGCCGGGTGGTGCTCTTCATGTTGGCCATGAACAGGGCTGGGAGCATCGTCTTCCTCACCGTGGTGGCCATGGATAGGTACTTCAAAGTGGTCCACCCCCACCACATGGTGAACACTATCTCCAACCGGACAGCAGTGGGCCTGGTCTGTGTCCTTTGGACCATGGTCATCCTGGGGACGCTGTACCTGCTGACTGAGAACCACCTGTGTGTGCAAGAGAAGGCCATCGCATGCGAGAGCTTCATCATGGAGTCGGCCAACGGCTGGCATGACATCATGTTCCAACTGGAGTTCTTTCTGCCCCTGGGCATTATCCTCTTCTGCTCCTTCAAGATCATCTGGAGCCTGAAGCAGAGGCAGCAGCTGGCCAGACAGACGCGGATGAAGAGGGCCACACGGTTCATTGTGGTCGTGGCTGCGGTGTTCATCACCTGCTACCTGCCCAGCGTGTTGGCCAGGCTGTACTTCCTGTGGACTGTGCCCTCCAGCGCCTGTGACCCATCCGTCCACGTGGCCCTTCACGTTACCCTCAGCTTCACCTACATGAACAGCATGCTGGACCCCCTGGTGTACTACTTCTCAAGCCCCTCGTTCCCCAAGTTCTACACCAAGCTCAAACTCCGCAGCTGGAGACCCAGGTGTCCAGGGCCCTCCAAGACCACTCTGAGGCCAGAGGAGATGCCCATCTCGAACCTCTGCCATAGGAGTTGAATCAGAGTGGCAAACAGCTTCCAAAGCCAGTCCCGTGTCCAGTGGGATCTCCACGTGTGCTGACTGGCCTTAGAACAAAGAAGGCAAGTCAAGGAGACAGATTGGTCACGTAAAAAGATTTGCAACTAAGCGGTGGGGGGACCTTGGAAATGCCATCTTTTTTTAGCTGCATCCTCACTCTGGCAGCAATGAAATTCATATCGTTAGACCTTTTGGGGAGGTTCCAGTTGAATGAAGAGAGTGGACTGCGATTCTAATTATTGTCTGATTCTAATGACAAGGGAAGTATGTTTATAATGCGGGACCTGTGTGTGTTGGGCGGAGGGGGGGTCAGGCATTGCTTGACGCCTGTGCAATTTTAAACGGCTGAGTAAATAGGTCTGCGTGTTGAAACGGGTCATATTCTCTCTCCAGGGGAACTAATGATTGTAATGACTTATAAGTATTTCCTATCCTGGGACTTTAGATGTTACTTGTCCTAGAAAATACAAACCAGATTAAGCCAATACTTGTTATTTTTATTAGTTAGTTAGTTAGTTGTTGAGAATGTACATGGCAAAGCACACACCAATCCCACAGTTTCTCTGTGTACCATTCAGTGAGATGGATTATATTCTTCGAGTCGTACCATCCTCACCCTCCTCTGGGTCAGTCCTCCACCATGAAGCAGCTGGCTGCCTCCTAAGGCTCCTTCCTGTCTAATTCTTCGCCTTGCTGTTGTCAGTCTGATCCCGGTGCTCAAGGGAGACACTGTTTACTCACTAAGCCAAACCATTCCAGGCTGAGGGATGCTCTTTACAGGGGCTCTCTGAGGACTTTCATCTTCTTGGGGCCGCCTCTGCACATTTCTTTGTAACTGTTTTAACTTCCCAGGGAGTCAGTGGCAGAATGCAGACGCACAAACCCGCGTCACCTCCTTCCCGCTGCACGTTTTCCCGCAGGTCTTTGCATTGCAGAGGAGGTGCCGAGGGATGTGTTTCCCTGCTCAGATGTTTCCAGTGTGAGCTGAGTGCTTGGGATAAAAAAAGACGAAACCAAAAAGCTGCTGCTTTGGGGACGTGCTGAGTCTGTGTAATTGCTCCCAGTGCTTGCTATGTGACGGGCGTGGAGGTGATTTGTTATCCATTCCCTGGCGGTCTCTGGAGACATACTCAGTGCCAGACACTGTTTATCTTCTTTTCACCTAGAAGGTCCTTAGTCCACTTGTGGGTACAGCAGTTTTAAGAGTGGCGAGGGGAAAAGCTAAGGACTTTCATCCTTTCACGGAATATGGATGGTAGACCTGATCTCTGCCAACATCAGCGTTTTCTTCTTATTCTGCACAGGGATGGGGTAGAGAGGCCATGCACCTCAAGTGGACTACTTGATTCTACAACGGATAGTCCCTACCCTGCATTAGGAGTCTGGGTGGTGCCAACAGGCAGTGCTCAGCTGCTAATGGAAATGTTGGTGGTTCAAACCCAGCCAGTAGCCTCAGAAGACAGACCTGGCAATGTGCTTTTGAAAAGTCACAGCCTTGAAAACCCTATGGAGCAGTTCCCTTCTGCACCTTATGGGTCACCATGAGACGCAGTCAACGCGGTGGCAACAGGCAACAACCCTGAATTAAGGGGGAAAATGCCAAGCCAACCTTCACTCCGTCCTCAAGCCACAAAAAAGTGAGAACAGCTCGTTAATCTACACTTCTTCGAATCTCCAGGACGATTTCCACACGTAAGCACCATGTCAGCCTTTAGTTCTTTGGCCTCAAACACCCCAATAAACCAAAAACCAAACCCACTGCCATGGAGTCAATTCCGACTCATCGCAACCCTGTAGATCAGAGTAGAACTGCCCTGTAAGGTTTCCAAGGCTGTCGATCTTTACACAAGCAGACTGCCTGATCTTTCTTCTGCAGGGAGGCTCAAACCACTGACCTTTTGGTTAGCAGCTCAATGCTTTAACCTCTGTGCTGCCAGAGCTCCTCAAACACCCCTGTGGTCAGCCCTTATTGTGTACTTTCTGGAGGCAACGCCCAGCCTCGTGATTAGAACTGTGGGCTGTGGAGCTCAAGCACTCAGTAGACTTGGGGACTTGGAGCAAATTTTATTGAATCGCTTTTAGGTTCAGTTTCCTTGTCCGTAAAACAGGGGTAACAGGGTGTTAATTCCAAGGGGTCTATGGTGGTTATGTTTGTGTGTCAACTTGGCTGGGCCTGGTTGAGTGGCTGGGCAGCTGGTGGTAGTTATTCCCCATGAGGAGACTGGCAATCAACTCCATGGTGGGATCTACCACAAGCAGCTGAGTAGCTGCCTTTGGAATGTGCTCTGCTTCCTGTATTTAAGGAGAAGCCTTGGGAATGGTCTCTAGCCTATGGCACGCTTGGACTCTGCATGTAGCCGTGTCATTGTTCAGCAGCCTGCTATGCTCTGCCGACCTTGGAACTTTCAATGGACTTAAGTTAATGGCCTGCTGTGTGGTTTGTTAACATCAGGACTGTGCCTTTTTACTTGTCAGCCTTGGGTTGTCAGTCTCAGCAGCCAGCAGCTGTCTGAGTGAAGAACTGCCTCTAGCTCCAGTGGGCCGGGAGCAGGAGGCAGAGCTGGACCCCAAGGTTGAGGGGCTTTCACCCAGCCTCTAGAGCCTGGTACTTTGAACTTGGACTTAAAGCCTCCAAATTGTAAGAATAAATCCCTGTTTGTTAAGGCCATCCTATTTGTAGTATATTCTCGTCAGAGCGGCACTAGGGAAGCAGAACAGGGTTGTTGGGAGGATTTGAGGGATGTGAGATCCTAGAGTGTTGACACTTTGTTCATTGTTATATTCCTAATGCCTCCAACAGTGCCTGGTGCAGAGCAGGCACCCCACACTACGTGTTGAATGAACGACTGAGTAGTACATGTAAAGCAGTAAGCACAACGCCTGGAGTAAGCACGCTGTGCAGATGATTTACCGTGTTGGCATATTTTGTACACAGAGCAGCTGAGGCACAGAAGCAGTTTCCCTGGGAGTTTCCCCAAGCAGCTGCCTCAGCATCACCACTTAAACCCCCTGCTCCCCAGCTGCCTGGAGAGGAGAACAGGAAGGACCCTTATCAGTGTCAAAGGATCACATATCCTCCTGAATGAAATCTGTGAAAACCCGCACTTCTGCTTTTAGAGCTATTTTTGTGTTCTGAGGCTACTGCCTTGTTGCTTCATCTTAATAAAGATGGGCTTCCCAAAGAATTCTGTGTCCTGTCTGTGACTCTGTATCGAAAGACTTGTAAAATGTTGCTCTCTGGGGGGAAAAAGTCCATAAATTCCAGAAGCTTGTGGCAGACATATGGGCAGGGGTTCTCTCTGAAAGCAGCAATAGCAAACAAAAAGACATGGGGGTTGGGGGACGGAGGTGAAACAAAGAATGAACGGACGACACATGAAAGACAAAGAATGAAAGAGACAGAGAAAGGAAAGATCAATGAAAACCCAAAGTCCTGATGCTAAATTTGCTTCCCCTTTCAAGTTTGCAGAATGTGGCAAAAAGGAAATCTTATCAAGTCGTGTTCTTCAGAAACACATGGAAGATGAGTGTAGCTTTGAGGACAAGTGTTCAAACTACCAGGAAGAGGAAAACCTGATACATTTAAAGAAATGTTTTTTCCTCTTTTTCAGGAACTCTCAGGAAGAAAATGTCAGATAAAGATCAGATAAAAATATTAAGCTAGATACTGTACAGGAAGTGTACGGGAGAGTAAGAGGTGCCTGTTCTTGTACTGACGGTCGGTCATAGAATGAAAGGTCTGGCCTGACTCAGAATGGACCTCCTCACCCTTTATTGAAACTACAGTGACTCTGCAGGTGTCTGAGCTCACAGGGTGCTTGGATGGGATTTTAACTCTGAGCACAGAGGAGTCAAGCCAGTTGAAAAGATTCTACTGCCAGGCCAGGGCTCGGCCTCATGGGACACCTGGCCTCAACTTGCTTGACTTCTGGTCTCTCTGAGCCACAGACATTTGGGTGACCCAAGCCCAGAGGTGTATCTGCGGAAAAATGCACCTGTGGCAAGCACTGAAATTATGCCCCTGTCCAAACATCAGTACCATGTTGTAGAAACTTGACCACAATATCAGCTCTAATGTACAATCAATCTCACTCATTGTTTACTGAACACATTACGGCACTCCGTGAAAATAGCAACTGCACCTTTGGCTTTCGCTGATGGAAACTGGTCTCTGATGTGCTCAGAGTCCTTGTTTCCAGTTTCTTCCCTTTTGACACTCAGCAGAGCAAGATCACACAGTTGGCTTTGAACCTCAGAGGCTCTCAAACACAAAAGCAAGAGCTTGAACTTGCTGAATGATCTTTCACAGCTGGCGATGGAAACAGTGATGGTTCATAGACACTGGTCAGTGGTGTCCCCTTCAGGTGGCGCCCAGGGCACATGCCATACCTGTATACCTTCCACACTTAACATACACCTCTGCTCAAGACACTGGCATCACAGTGAGGGCAAAAATGGTTTCAGGACCAGCTATGTAATTCACAAAGCCCAGTGCAGAAGGAAAATGTAAGGCCCCTTGTTCAAAAAAATGAAGACTTTCCAGATGGCAATAGCAGGGCAGTCAACTAAGCACAGGACCTATCTGAGCTTGTCCATGAGGCTGCCCCTGAATAAGATAT